CCCCCCTGGGCGCCTTGCCTGCCTGCCTGCCTCTCGGGGCTCTTGGAGCTGTGGGGCCGCCGAGTGTGAGGGCTCCTGCTGGTAGGGTGGGCGCCCAGCGCCTCCTGGCATCCCGAGGAGGTTCACCCGGAAGGGAGATAAATCCCGTGTTGGTGGGAAAAGCATGTGCTTTTATCTCTGGTGACAAGAACAGGCTCTAGACCCTTTCTGACTTGGTGCTTTTATTTGCGCCGTGGGAATGGTTCAAAGCTGCATCCAGGGAAATTTAGACTGGACATGATGAAGTATTTTTTAACGAACAGGGTGGCTGAACACTGGAACAGGCTTCCTAGAGAGGTGGTCAATGCCCCAAGCCTGTCAGTGTTTAAGAGGCATTTGGACAATGCCCTTAATAACACGCTTTAATATTTGGTCAGCCCTGAAGTGCTCAGGTAGTTGGACTAGATGATCATTGTAGGTCCCTTCCAACTGAAAATATCCTATTCTGTTGGCTCTCCGTGTTCCTGTTGCTCTTCCTCAGCAGCCTGCTGCTTATTGAGATGTAGTAACATGGAGCTAGCTGTAATGTGGATAACTTGGAAGCCACTTGTTATTGCTGCTACTGTAGTACTGATACTAGTCCAGTACCAGTGCAGCAACCTAACTTACCCTAGTAAATCACTTTCTGTCGATGCAGTCACCAGATGTTCGCTATCTGTTTCTCAGTGTTTAAGAAAAAGCAAAAAGAAGACCGAATGCCTATGCAGCTGCTGTTTTGCCATGATGAAGGGATAAAACATTTTTATTGCTATGCTCTTTTTTTTTCTCCCCCCTTACCCTCCCTGTTCCTTAGAGAATGAAAGTGATCCTCAGGCAAACCAAGCAACCCACAAGGAAGTATACACTAGAGAAACAGCTTTAGGATTTAAAGTGACAACAATAATAACATACAAGGAAGTTCAGCCTCCTATTACTCGACTACTCAGGCGTGTGAAATCATTCTTTGATCCTAATGACAGCCCTCCTTCTGAAAATTGAATGGTCTGGAAGCTCAGAACTTGGTGCTGGAGCTGGCTTCTCCGAGATAGTCATCCTGGTGCCTGGCACCAGACCGTCGGTGGAAAACTTTCTCTTCCATTGCTGAAACGACAGCTCCGTCTCAGACACAACTTCGTAGAACTTGCAGATCTTCTCATCTGCTCGGATCATTGCTGTTCTTTGCACGTATATTCAAATTACTAAACATGAACTGGGTTCAACTAGGCATGTTGTGAGATGTTAACGAATCTGCGCGCTGCCTGGTGTCTTGGGTCCAACGCTCTGACCAGGTGGCTGTTGCGGTTATTTTCATGAAGTTCATTTCCCAGCTGGTGTGCAGGACGTACCTGGGTGATCGGGACGTACCCGGAATGGCTCCTCAACTGGTCAGCTTTGAAACGGGTACTTAAGAACGATTAGTAAATGGGAAGGAACATTTGGGATATGAGAGTTGTTAATCATCCTTCAAATAAAAGCTTACAAGAGAGGAACTGCAAGTGCAGAGAAACTACTGTAAGCTGAAAACTTTTTCTGCTCCAGGCCCTCTACTGGGCCTTTGTTTCTATAGGGGTTTCCCTGATCCTTACACATGCTACCTCCTCTTGTAGGGTACTCCCCCCCAGCTGCTGTGGCTGTAACTAACTTTCATTCTATGGGGTTTTACCTGGTCCTTATGGACATCACCTCCTGTCACAGCAAGCTGCTTCTGGCCACTGTTTTCTATAGGCGTTTCCCCCATCTTCTCTCACTGCTGACCCTCATTGCTTATAGGGGCTCCCTGCAGCCACCACTTACACTTCTAGAAGGCTGCCCCAGCCTCTACTATCTACAGGGGGCTTCCCCCAGTCCCTATAGATACAGCCTCTAGAGGAAGCTGACCCGAGACCCTGCACAAGCAGACCTTCCTTTCTGTAGGGGCTTCTCCCTGCCCCTGCAGACACCTCCCCGTTTCTATAGGAGCTGCCTGCTATCCCTGTAGCCTTTTCTAGGATACCCCCTGCCCTGCCCTGGTTTCTGTAAGGTCTCCTCACAGTCCTTGCAGACACCACCTTGTTGTCTCCAGCCCCTCTGCCCACACCCCCCAGCTTCTATAGGAGCTTTTATACCACGAGGGCCAGCCTATGCGCCTACAGACCCGCCTTTCTATATGGGCTCCTCTGGTCCCTACAGGCACCGCCTCCTTTTCCAGAAGGCTTATCCCAGCCACTAATTTCTGTGGGCACCCCCCTGTTCCCCTATAGCCATACCCATAGAGGATGCCACCCCGGTTACCTGCATTTTCTCCTTTCTATAGGCACCGCCCCGCTAAAGACCCTATAGGCATCAACTCCCTTCGGAGAAAAGAAGCCCCTCGGCACGCAAAACGTTTGTCGACCCCTCCCTTTTCTACAGAGGCTTCCTGTAGGGGGAAACCCCTACAGGCACCGCTTATGCCTATGCCATACAGCACATACACCCTATATATGTATACACATCCCTTACAGACCTATAGCGGCTCTCACGGGGAGGCTGCGGCAGGACCTCCGAGCCGCCAGGGGGCGCTGTAAGCAGCGCGGTCCGGCAGGGAGCGGCCG